CGGCGATGATCGGTAGGCAATTGCGGTTGGCAATGTTGGGGTTTTTGATGGGGGAAGCCAATGATGCTATTGGTGGTGTTAGGGGTGGTTTCCAGTGCCGAGACCCATTGGAATTTGGATGAAACGCCGATTGAAACTAAGAGTAGCGGCTGGCGATTGGGGGGTTCAATAAAGAGAGGAGGTTAGGGGTTTTGATGTGGGGGTTGAGGGGATTGTAATGATAGTGTCAAGAGAGGTCAGCTGCGTCGAGAACAAGTCGGAATGGCTTGAAATCGCCGGTGGGATGAATTTGAGAAGTCAAGGGTTATTCTGAAATTTTTCGATGGGGTTAATTTGAGAAGTGAAAGGTTATTTTGAAATTTTTATCTTTGAAATGACCATTTTATCCTTTTAACTATTAGATTAAACAGTTATCTGCTAATTTAAAGGTGGAAATATGTAATTTATGAAACCAGAGGTGAGAACTTGTAGATTTGCCAAACCTTAAGTGGGCAAATGTCGTTTACTAAATTAAGTATGAGTAATGCTACAGTTACCGACGGGTGTGCACCGAATGACGTGAAAAATCCTAACCGTTGATTTATTATCAGTTAATATTAATCAACGGTCAGAATTTTCCACATCAGTCGGTGCACAAATTCGGTGTAAACTTTTCGATAACTCTATCATTTTCCATTAAGTAATAACTTGTACAGGTACAAAAGGAGGATAGCAGAGTGGCGCTTACACTTTTTATAGACAATAAAACCTCCGATAACTAAACATGTAGGATTTAACTTTTATTGAACAAATAAAAGACTTCAGTGGTTTTTTCCACATAATATTACAGTATTATGATCAACAACTCTGGTTCAGTAAATGATACCTCTTTCTCCTTCATGGTGGTTTTTTTCACTTTTTATTAGTAACATATTCATATGCTGCAAAGTTTAGGTCTTTCTTGGTCTCCACAGACTGAAATCCTTGAAGCAGATAGTGAACAAACCCCTGCTTCATTTGCTGTTTTTTCTTGAAGTAAACAACTGCTGAGACTGTTTACAGTGAGCAATTGCTCCCTCGATTGAATTTTCGATCTCCGAATTCGCACTGCTACTCCTCTTGAGCAACTGTAAATCATAAAACCTGAGTGAACTGAATGAAAAAGATGAAGATGAAGAAGAACCAGATGAAGATGTAGATGTTGATGAAGATAAACACTTCATTGCAGAATGCCTTTGAATTGCTCCTGAGAAGGACCTTCTGTGGACATTATTAGCACCATCCTCAACCATCTCCTTTTTAATGTTCTTGGAGAAAGTAGTAGGTATCTTGTATCTATCATTACCAATTTTTCCAAACGGGGACTTGCTTAAACAAGTGTTGCCTTTTGAAATATTTTCTGGCTCAACATCACAAGCTGCTTTGGCGCAGAACTCATCCGAACAGCCGGACTTACCAAACAAAGACATGAGATATGCCCGCGATGCTTTGAGCTTTTGACCCATTGAAGATTTCTTAATCAGCTTGAGCTTTCTGTTCCAAGACTTCTTTGACTGATCACCATCAATGAAACCACTCATTTCAGTCGACCAGTCAAAGAAGTATTCATCTGAGTTAATTTCACTACTAACTCTGGAAGACTCTGACGGCGAAACATTACAAGATTCTAATGGGGTACTCGTATTAGTTGTAGTAGTACCAGAGCTAGTAACAAAAGGAATGACACAGCTTTCTTCAGACGAATCTTGTGTTTTTTTCTCAGAGGTAGTGAGTTTTTGAACCATTAGTAAACGAGGAGGAAGGTGAAGAGGAAGGAGTTTACCCTTATAAAAAAGATCATCGGCAGGAGTAGTTGTGGACTCTCTGTCATGAGAAACAGAACACATTTGGAACTCAAACTCCCTGCTGTGTGGTGGAGAGTTGATGGAGTAACACAAGAACTTTGAGGAAGAACTAACCTCTAAATCAATATAATCATCTTCTACATGATTACATAAAGCTTGGTTTTTGGCCATCTCATGTGAACTATTTTCTCTTTCTCTCTCTGCTTGTGTGTGAAGATGCTTATGGAGAGCTGAGCTTGGTGAATGAGGAGGAGGGCAGACAGTGCATCACTTAAAAGTAAAGATGTAGACAACTTAGAAAGTGAAAAAAATTATATTGAAAACCATTGTCAGATTTTTCTTTTCTTTTTTCAATATCTTGAATGGTTCCAAATAGTAAAATGCAGATACAAATGTGGATTCAGCAGCTAGACACTCAGTGACCTATATGTCTTTGCTTATATCTTTTTCATCAGTATATATGTGGCTCCTATACAGTTACTTTTGTTTGAATTATGTTTTTTTATCTTTTCGTTTCACTTCTATCTTTTCCAAAACTTAAATTTCTGCATTCTAATGGTAAACTATTCAAATTCTTTTCTTTTTTTTTTTCCTTTACCCTTTTCAGATTGAGACTTCTTGTCACCAAAAATCAAAGTTTCAGTACTTTTAACATGTAGCAGGATTATGTGAGATCAAATCATGAATCAGAATCATTATAATTTGGTAAGGACTAAAAACCAGTGGATAAACTAGCTGGAGTACTCTTGTTTGTCTTGTTTAGTTTTCCAAGCTCTCATGCGTTGATGATTTGATGTTATGGTATTCATACTTTGAATTTGAAACGTTTTATGCAGAAGTGTGAGTATCTTCCACTACAATGGAGAAGGGGACAGTGGGTTCTTTTGTTTTTATTGATAGTTTCAATGTAATTGACTCTTCAAAGCCTATTCAACAGTGTTGAGAAAATGAAAGTAGAGTGGAAATGTATTAATCAGCATTCATCTTATTTGAAATCATGATATTGACATGCATAAAAGTGTATCCACTTAGGAGTAATTAATTGGGTTGAGTTTGAGCCCTCCTTGGGTGTTAATAAAAGTAGCCACTAGAATTCTTACTCGACGGTAGTCTCAAAGTCTCGAAAGATTAGTTAAGGTATGCGTAAACTGGCCTAAACACTCCGATCATAGAAAACAAAAATAGGTTGAGGCTTTTTAATTTCCTTAGTTTAACTGTTTGCTTTTTTTTACCCCTTTACAAATCTACATGTGCTCATGCTCTTTAGTCGTTAACTCTCATAACTTTGAAGACTTTAATTAGGAAAAAATCTGACATGTCTATTTTTGACGCCAGAAAAACAATACATATTAACTTACATTGTCTCAATTTTGTATATTTAATATTATTGGACGGCTTTCACAAAAACCATTAATTGATATTAAGAAAAAAAAAAAAAATCCAAACACACAATAGTTTCACCCAAGGTTGATAATTTTATTATTATTATTATTATAGAAAGTATCTTAGTCAGTTTGTAACCGCATCTCAAGTAATCCTCTAAATTTTGAAACTGTTGATCAGGTAAGAACCAAAGAATCCTAATAGCCACCTCTATTAATGCCCCGGAGACTGGAATTGTTTAATTTATTAGTAACTAGAGCTGTATATCATGATATTATAGTTGAAGTAGAAGTGGAAAGGTTGTGTTATTATTCCTAAACATCCACACACTTCTCTGCAACAAAAACTTATAATCATTATCATAAAAAAGTAACCCATCTCTCGAAACCTAGTTTTTTGAACTCTCAATTCATAAATTCAATAATAGAGTGTGTGAGTGTATGTTTTACACAGGAAAGAGGGAGAGATTTGGTTTCAGTTTCAGCATTTTAATATTCTAAGTTTTGCATTATTTAATCTATAGGCTAAGAAGAATCATGTGTATAAGTATAATATCTTCATTTGACTAGGTCAAAATGACAGATTTCAACCTGCTTAGCTTTGATTATTTTTATGTCTATTGAATGTTTAACTAGAGGTTGGCTGTTGACCTGACTAAGAACAAACATAAAGGCCAACATTTGAAAGTGGGGGTAACAAAAACAAAACATTGAAGAATGGAAAATGACTTATCCAAGGCTAGAGGGCATTTATTTGTCCCCTCTTTCACCACTTTATTATTGAACTAACTATGGCCTAGGTTATATGTTTCTTCAATTTAACAAACGTTTATATAATCGATTAATTTAGAAGTTTTTACTGTTTAAAACCTAGAATACCCCTCATTTTGGTGTTGTCCTAGTTTTCAAAACCTAAATTCTGCCCCCAAACTCTCTGTTTCTTTTTAACGACTGTTACAATCAAGAGATATATCCCATTACTTTAAACTGATACAATTATAGCAATAACCCAATTCTGTTGGTTCAATTCATTCATCTTAGACATAAATCTCATCCATTTTTTATTTTGGGATTTCATCTAAACATAAAGTTTTACATGTCATCTTCATTTTGAAAGTCTATTAGAAATATAGTCATAGTTGTTTGTGGATCTGACAAGCACATGAAGCAGATGGGCACGTGATGCTGATCTGACCATGCTAAAAAGTGGTGTTCATGTTACAGTGACTGAGTTACGCAGGCTCAGGCTCAGGCTCAGGCTCAGGCTCACCCTTTTAAGTTTTAACCTTGTCATGATGGGTTTTATTCTGTGTGAGACTTGTAGAATACTTCCACACATGATGCGTAATTGGCTACTAAGGAAGCACCCCTGTTAAAAGTCACACTCAAAAGAGATTAAAGCATTTTGGGAAAGTGCCGATAGATGCTTCACTTTAAACCTGCTTTTCTTTTTAGGTCATACCATTGCTTTTGGATTCCGAACTCAGTACTCCTTTCCAATCATTGTTGAATCACATTTCAACTTAAGCTATCTCAATACGCAATTACATCATCAAACTATCTCTGGGTGATCGAGTAGTTCAATATGAACTCTTAAATGTATTACTTAAGAGTAATGAGTTCAAATCCCTTCTCGATTGTTAATAGAGATAACCACTAAAGCTTTTACCCGGCTAGTGATTCCAGGGTCCTGAAGTCAGACACTCCCGATCATCCAAAAAAATAATTATCAATGAATTACCTACGAAATATAGCATAATATAAGTCTATATTTTTATAATATCTCTCTGTTTAATACAAATGAAAATAACACAGGCATAGGGTTAATAATCACACTCATTTCAATCATGTTCCTTCAAACTCTAAATGGATGATGAAAAGAATCAAGACCATTAAATTAAAAACATGTTTAACCAAATGAAAGAGAGGGGCTAACAAATGCTCCCTGCTCAATTGAACCTTTCTGATATCTTGTAATGACTAATCCAGGAATTCATTTATAAGTGAGAGTTACTTCCACCAGGCAAAAGCCGGCTGGATAAATAATATATGAATACACATAACATAGAGTTATCTACATTTGGTCATCAGATTTTAGATCATACACATCATATAAATCTATGAAAATCCAGTTCCATCGTAAATTTCCTTTGAATTTGGATTTGGTATGGAGAAATCAGCGCTTCTCAATGTGTATCACCGTGCTATAAAGTTAGATAACAAAGAGATATCTATACTAAGTATCTCTCCTGGTTGGTCAACCACTGATGTGTAGATCCTTGTCAAATGCATCAAACTCCCAATCAATAATCTCCTCCGAGGAGTTGTCTCTGCTACTCCTCCCAAAACCTGAATCTAGTTTCTCCAGTTCTGCAGTCACATCCGACACTTTATCTCTCTTAATTGAGTAAAACTCAATTTTCTCTCGTTTGTTCTTCTGTGTTTTAGAATTTTGGCCAGAGGTAGGAGATGAATTTTTAATGGGCAATGGCAATTGTGGTCTTCGTGTTGGAGTCTCAACTTCCAAAGTTGGTCTCTCAATGGATTCAAATTCCTCTTTTATTTTTGCGAGAGCATCAAATAGCTCTTTGACCCTCTCAAATTCTTTCCTGGATCAAGAGTATAGAATGTTCCATTTCGACCAGATTAGGTCAATGTGTTACATGGCAGTGAATGTAAAAGAAGGAAAAAGAAAAAAAGCACAAAGTGAAGATTAAGTGAACCTGTAAATGCCTTCACTCTGCATGTAAAACTGCTTTTGCATTGCATCCACTATGCTTAGCGTGGTTAAAAACTAGTAGAAAGGGAGGGGGGAAATAATAAGGAATACATCTCATAATAATAGGAAATAAGCAATAACCATGACAGCGTCAGACCCAATTGCTGCCACTACAAAATAATATAACTCTTTAGGATGATACATTGGGGGAAAACGGGCATAATACAAATTCATAAATAAAAAAGGAATAGGAAAAGTAAGCATTTTGTTTTTAAAACAGTAGCTGAACTCCCCGTACATTAACAAAGGATAGGAAAAATAAACATTTTGATTTTAATCAGTAGCTAAATTATGTAAGAGTTTATGCAAATGCATATGAAGATGCATCATTACCTTTGCTTCAAGATTCAAATATTCCTCTTCAAGACCTTTTCTTATAATTATTGTTTTTGGACTTTCCTTGTCTATCCTCCGTGCTATTTCTGACCTGATTTTTAAAAGCAATGAGGATTCTTCATTTAATGGAGCAATAAACAAGTAAAAGAACAGAGCATGATACCCTTCATTTAATCGCAACTTATCCACAAGTTTATGGATACTTGTGATTGAGAGTCCAAGTTGTTCCTAATTAAACACACACGCCCACCAGAAAAAACAAAGATGCCTTTTAGAAAAAAAGGAGAATATACACAAAAGTTATAAACAGCAACCAGCGATACATAATTACAGAGCAATCTTAGCAAGTCTACCTTGTAGGCAGAGAGAAGATGAATAACCAGAATCACAAAATGATCTCCATATTTCCCCAAGTCGCCACTTGAACATGTGCATATGTTAAAATCATCAGAAACAAAAAATAAAAATCATGATAGGTTAAGAGGTGAACATGTGAATGCAAGTGAAAAGCACAAAGCAAACAATGAGATATTAATCCAATCCCTGATTTTTGAGAGATAAGAACAGCATGAGATTCATTACTGAGCAGGACAAAACAGAGACATACTTGACCTGCTTCTCCTTGCTATCATTTTGTGCTGTCTGGAGATTCCAGGTGTCTTCCAGAAAATTAATCCATGTATTGACCACATTTGCTTCTGTTTTACATGAAGCACTTGATCTTGAAAGCTCATCTTCCTATTATAAAACATTTTGAAAACAGACTAGGGATTACTAATAAAATGGATCCACATTAGTTTCTAAATTTTCTGTGCCAAATATGGATTACAAATTCTTAAAACACTTAATATCAATAGTTCCTAAAGCAAAAACGAAAGTAAGGATACCTTTGATTTCAAGTGCATTAATATCTCATTGCTGGCATCATCAAACTGCTCTCGTTCTTCCCTGGCATTACGAAGGCGAGCACGAGAAACAGCCAATGAGGTGCTGACCTATACCAAACACCATGCTGTGAATTTAGCCAGTAGACGATAGGAAAGAAACTAATCAGACTAACAAAACTTGTTGGACTGATGTTGCAAAATATGAAACGGTGGTATTCACACTAGTGATTCACTTTCACGGGTCACAAAACACACAGCTTTAGGTAAATAGCAACAAAAATGACAGAAATGAAAGGATATGGATAACTAAGACTCAATTGAGTAAATATCAAACATCACTAAATCTTGCAAAAGTGTTTATGCTTTTGACAATAACACAAATAAAATCACATGGAGATAAAACTTAAGAACCTTTTTCAATTCAGTTTCAAGTTCATCCTTTTGCTTCTCAAACTCTCGAATCTCGGTGGCCAACTCCTGGAAAATGCTATGACATGTGTGTTTAATATTTCTTGGAAAAAACTAGATCAGAAACAAATAACCTTCCTAGTGAGCATGGTGTTAAACATAAATAAATAAACAAGCATTCTCAATTATCCAAATAAATTAGCCCCAAGAAGGCTTAACTTTCAATTTTCATTTACTCAAAAATATATTCTTGAAATGAAGACAGATTTTCCTTTTATATTTGGGACAGATGAGAGAGATTATTTTAGCACAGGTGTGAAACTTCCTACAAGTACCACTTGATTGGAGCTTTGCAAAATTTGACTAACAAGTAACAAGAGATGCAGAACTAGCATATAAAGATGCAAAGATTCAAGAAACGATTGGAAAACAGAGATCTGCCAGTAGAATCTAGTAGTATTTAAATTAATGTCCCCAGGTAAGTTGAAGGAGGTGCACCAGTTAGGCAGCTCACCTTCTCAAGTTGGCCAATTTCTTTGGCTTTTGCCAAACGGAAGTTAAGTGCTTCTTCTTTCTGAGATCTGATTAAAAAGATGGGAGTCAAAAGTATAAGAATATCCTATACTTAAATAAAATGCTGTAGAGGTCAAGAAGCAACAAAAAGGAAAATCAATGGAAAGAAAGAAATGGATATTAAGAAAAATCCATATAATGTTTGACATTTTCACTGTTGTTATTAACTTCATCTGAGATAATGTTTATTGTAGTAACTACACATTTTAACATTGTTCAACTATGAGTTAAAAATGGTTAGGAATTCCACTTTACATGTCATGATCTAAAAGAACCTGATTTATATTATCAATAAATTAATTAATTTCTCAAGCTCGATATGCAAATAGAATAACATTCATATTTAAGAAAAATAAACATTTCTTATCCGGATAACAAAAGGACCACTCTAACTACATATGAATTTTCAAAATATAAGCCTGCAAGCAGCCACACAAGCAAGCATACAAGCTTGCTCATGAGAACTCTCATGCCCCACACAAGTTTTGCTGACATAGTAACTCAAAACTGGATTCCCATATTCTTTCTCATTTCTTCTAAGTACGGTCCAGATACTCTCTCTCTCATACACACAGGCAAAGTCAATTACAAGTACAAGAACAAGGGCATACACACAAAAGCAGTTCTGAGATAGTTTAATAGAAACCTGTGGTCTAAAATGCGCTTTTCAGCTTGTGAAGTTGAGTTAGCAAGTGATTCTGCGAATATTTTTAATTTATGAACCTACAAGATAAACAGATCATGGATCATTATCGACAACAGTAGGAGCAGATTAGCGATATTAGGCATGAAGTAAACAAATGTAAGACCAAGAGAAACCATTTCCGGCTGCCATAACCATAAACTTTTAATGGATAGATAGCTTGTAGAAGAACTTATTGGCAAAATATAGAAAATGGGATCATAATTATTTATTTTATTAGTTTGTGTAGACATGGCCCAATATTATGTTTGAATGAACTTGTTTACCCCAAAACATATTTGAAAAATGCTTTGTTTGAAAGTAAAACGTGTGCATGTGCATTTTCCAACACACCCTTTTTAAACCTAATAAAATCATTTATACTTGGATAGTTAGTTTACGTTTGGTAGGATGGATCTTTAACCAAATTTGACAATCATATATTTCAACCAGATGTGTGATGTATAAAAGGCTCCATTGTAAAACTTTGAAGCAGAACAGATATTCACTCATCAAAATGGTTTAATCAACAGCGTTGTGCAACCTGAATCATTATGACTGTAAGGAAGATAACAGGGAAAATTGCATGGCTCAAAGAAAATGGATCCTCAACACAAAACATGTTTCTGTTGAAAGCATGGGTCTGTTGAAAGCATGGAGATACATTGGGTCTGTTGAAAGCATGGAGATACATTGTCCTCGCCTTACACAAATACTAAACTAGAGTTTAGAGGTTGTGTTGAAAAGAGAAGAAGCCTGATGTTTTATTTCTGGACTATTCCTCCTAAACAAAAATAAAAAAGCTACTTGGCTCAGAACCATTCAAACTAATCCTAACATCAGATTTGGTCACTCACTTTAGAAACACCTTCGTTCTTTGTCAACCTAAAATGAGAACAGTTAACTGATCAATTGTCATGGTCTCTCAAATTTTGGTTGATGCTTCGCTGGGAACCAACTTTCCTCTTATAAACAAACGATGAACATCTTTTCAGGAGGAAAATTTTGAAATAAAAAAGTTAAATTAAATTAAATTACAGATATCAAAAGAAACTCAAACCTTTTCAGCATGAAGTTCTGGAGAATCCCCATTGCTTAAAAACTTTTTCTTTAACAAGAGTTCTTCCAACTTGGAACACAGTTGAATTTGCCCAAGAGCTTCTTTTAGATCCTGCAGGAAATGCCAAGCAACATGTTCAGTTAATATGCATTTTAGATTCTGACTTGGAAGCTGCCTGATCCCCCCTAGAAGCATAAAACTGAATAGAAGAGGTAAGACCCAGCAGTATAGTGACAGATATATACAATCAAAATATTTGAAATGAGCTACAGAACTAGATAAGTTGCTTTGTTTTCATGGTATTAAATAAACCTTGGATGTCACCGCAATAGGACTCTAGATAAAGTCCGACTAACAGACGTAGCTACAAGATATATTTATATCTATATAACTAAGCATTCATGATTAATTGAATCAACCTTACCTCTTCAGATAATTTATCACTTTCATTCGAGAGCTGCTGAATTGGCTTTATTTTATCAAGTTTTTCCATTAGACTGCAGGCTTCAGCATCTATTCTGAGAGCAGAGAGCAAAAACAAGTGGAGGTAAGGAATTAAATTTCCATTCTTAATCATCGTGTGTCAGTAAAAAAATTTCATCAGTTCAATTGAGCAAGGTCAAAAACCAATAGCTCGAGTACAGAAAAGACCCCTTATCTGCATTACGTGTCGCAGACTAACTGAAATGCAAATGAAATTGAAATTTAGTGAAGATCTTAAGCTAGAAGAAATGTGTATTCATGTATATTATCCTCAACCACCTTAATAGATCTGCATTGATCTTCAGGCCTGCAATTGCACCTTGAGCATATTGGAGTAACTCTTCTCGCTTTACCTGAAGTGTGAAAAGGGGGGTTATAAGTTCCCAATATTAACACTTGTTATATTCTGGATCACCCAGGATCATGTTGTTACGACCCATTCTAAGAACATAAGATTGAGAGCATCTTTAACAAAATGCATGCATGCTCCTCTCCAGTTCAATATCTTTAAGAGTAGAATTAGTAGTAAATTTTCACTGATATTTGCACATGTTTGCCAAAGGCACATGGTAGATGACCTTACCAGTACTTCGTCCTGGTAATTTGAGAATGCTGTTGCTAAATCATGTATGCTACTAATTAATGCATTGTGAACTTCCTTTCCTCCTGCAAGACAAAGCCTGTATATAACCAAACCAAAACAAGTTTAAGTAGAATTCAAAATATATGAAGCTGGTAGCACTAAATCCTTAAAAATATGTTCATGTTTTCTTCGAAGAAACCAAAAAGACAACTTCAAGCCACAACGTCACCAGCAAAACCGTAATTAGACACTAAAAATAAAGTAGAAGAGTGAGAAAGATCACCCAAATATCTCCAGTAATAGTGAAACTTCCTCCTCGGTTGGTTCTTCAAGAATCTGAATCATACAAAAGTATAAACCTGCGGTTAAACTCAATGGATCAGCAAATACAAAGCCCAGGTAAATACTTGAAATTAAGACATTATACTTAAAGGTGATTAGTGAGTATAGAAATGCTATGGCTTTCTGGGAGCAATCCCAAATTTCACCAAACATGTAATTAGAGCTCAAGCTGGCAGAGTAGAACCCATTCAGTTTATGAAAAAAAAAAAAAAAAACTATAAACAGAACAGTATTATAAATACACAATGCATTATTCTTACTACTATTAAATGAAAAAAATGAAGTGAGAGACGCAATCAAATGGAAAATTGAATCAACCATGAATATATAAACACCTTTCTTGAGTTTGAAGTTAGCTATGAAAAATTCCCAAATATAAATTGATATTAAACAAAAGTGAAATTCTGTATAAATACAGATTGTTCTACAAGGTCATAACTTGCATTTTATAAGAGTTATGAAGTTCAAACAGTAGCTAATAGTATCATCCAAGAACACCAAGTAAATCATTAGTCAACCTTTGCTCTCCTTACCAAAATGACCACAATTTGCTTCCTTATTGATCTCAATCAATTCCTAAACACTTAATCATCGAGATAGAATAAATGTGTTACAGTCACCTTAATTTTGAAAACAAAGTTTGTACTTGGCTTTCAATATGCTTTATAGGCCTCTCATATTAACAGATTTCCATTCAGCTTGAGAGCCCTATATTACTTTATACGAGTATTCAAAGAAGAATTAATATATGCATACACTATAACTTAGTCTAGAGTGGATTAAAATTCAGTTGTCTATCCAAGCTAATTGATACTTATTGAACTTACCATCGACATTGTTACACCTTCAAGAGCTTGACTGTAAAGGAAAACATCACCAAAATTCCTCGGCTCACAATCCATATCAGGGTCCGCATAATAAACCTGATCACATTGACACACAAAATTATCAATCATCAAAAAACCAGAGCGACTTTACAAAAAGATAAAGAAAAAAAAAACAGAAAAAGAAAATAACTCACCAACGTAGGTTTCCGAGGAGAATCTTTGGACTCATCAGAATTGAGCTGGTCTTGAGAATCTTTTGCAAGATAAAATGCAGCTACTCTCTCGATTTCTTTTAAAGCAACCAACCATCTTCTTAGCATCTGAACTCTCTCTATCCCTCTACACGACACCGAAACTTCTTCCAATGTTTTCACCGTCTGTCTAAAGCTTTTCAAACTCCTAGCGCCCTAAGTCGCGAAAACAACAAACACAAACACTTCAAAAGCAGGCTAAAAAATTTCTTAAGGTTTGATGAGATAGGATAAGAGGATATCAGTCAAGAGTAAAATTACAATGCGGTCCTGGATGAGTTTAGCGCCTTCAGTGACGGCATTTCCGGCTTGTTGAACCACGGAATCGGCAACGCTCCAAACGGTGCGTGTGAGGTTGTTGTTTCCGCCAACTTCGACGGCCTTATTCACCGCGGTTTTTAGCCAAGACATGTCAGATAATCCGGGTATTAAATGTTGATCTTGTAGACTTCTTCTGTTCTATTTCGTGTTGCTTTGTTTATTATCGTAATGAAAAATGGAAATGGAAACCTATTCATGAGCCGTTGTGGTCATTTCAAATGTTTATGAGAAAAATTAGAAAAGTCGAGCGTAAGCGCGTTTTCTGGTTTTAGCACGAGTCATATGCCTTTAGTTTCGCGTCCTCGTGATCATGTTTTGCATCTTGTCTAGCTACTGTTTAACCACGTCACCTGTTGACCTTTTTTTGTTGTATTCTGGGTTGACTTTAGTTGGGCCGGACTGTAAAAAGCACACGAAAGGCCTGGCCCATATTACCTCTTCAGCGGTGTAGAAGGATTCCTGCTAATGGGCTTGGCCCATTCTCTCTTACATACCATGTTACCGTCAAAATTCATTGCAAGTCGCTTTATTAGTTATTTTTAAAAACAAAAAATTATATTATTTAAAAAATGTTTAAAAGGTGATTTGTGAAATTCCGATAACACCCCTCTTTAATAAATTTCAGAAAATGAAAAATCAACGGATGAAGGAGGTTTTTGAAATGAAATTTTGGGCTTTATATATCATCACTCAGCACAAGAGTTGTTAACACCAATCACCAGTTGAAAACTTGTTGCTTTCATTTTACATTGCAAATGCCATACGCTTTGAGAAGCAACAAAAACTATGCTAAATAAGTTACATGTTACAACAGTTGGGAAAACTTTTTTAAGTTTCAGATCCAATGGCGCATACTATGATACTCATACATTATGTATCAACGAGCTGGGAGGGTATTTTTATTTTGAATTGAGAGCTTTAGATTTATCAACTATCTTTAAAAGACCCAGCTGAATGTATACAAATCACAACACCATCAAAATGTCGCATAAATGAGCCAATACTAGCATCAAATCCAGTTGCAGATAGCGTCGAACAGGAAGGATGTCAGTTTCTATCTACATTTCGCTCGTGTTTTCAGGCAACTGATCATCATCTTCGTTCGTTCATTGGTACAAAGGAATCGTTTGTATAACCAATCAACTAAATCTCAACATCTGGCAATGGAACTTTCCAAAAATTCCATGCATTATAATCTTCCTGCAGAGTAATAAAAACCACTGTTATAATCAAATCATAAACAAACATTCCATTGCAATAGCCTTCTTTTTCGACCTTCATGAATTGTACCTGCTCAATCAATGAGGTTGGGGGGAACATGTCGTTGACGAGTGTGTGTAAAGATGTGTATGACTTAACATCTATGCGATGACTAATGGCCACTTCACCCTGTAATTTCAAGTGAATTATTAGAATGATGAAATTCAGGAAATAATTTGTAGATCCCGTTTTCAGATAAAATACACTATCAGGAAAATTTGTACCTTAGGGTTGATGATAAAAATTTTCCCCTTTGGGATGCCAATTTTCCTGTAACTGAGTTCATCAGTATCTCTATTTCCAAAGCCCGCATAAAATGGGTTGTAGTCAGATGGGAAGAGTTTTTTAATATCCTGCAAAGAATAAATTTGAGAGATTATATAATGTGAGAAGTTGGAAACAAGGATTTGGATAGCTGCTATCAGCTTCAACATAATAGGATTTGATCTGATGATATTTACCTCTAGACAAGCAATCTTAAATTCATGAGGGGCTCTTCTTATAACTGCCATCAGCATACAGAGGGGAAAAAAAAAAATCAGCCATGGGAGTGGAAAAAAATGTAACAAAAAAAGGATAGCCAGCATACTAGCAATGCACAAAAAGGATGCAAATCTAACGAAATTTAGAAATGACTTTGTTTGCAAATTACTTAGAAAACAACATTCCTCAAAAAAGGGTCAATGATACAGTGATGACTAATGTATTTCCTCTACGTGGCCATGACAAACCAAGACAACATGCACAAAAATTGTATATCAAAGCTGTGAAAAATGTTAACATTGAAATTAACACACCAAAGTTATTTATTCATGTGACCAAGAATATGAAAGATGCTTCAGAGTGATCAGAATGTTCTAATAGAATCATGATGTCACAGGAAAGAAAAGACCGGCATCTGAAAAGATAAAGCTAAAGCAATTAGTTCAATGCATCAAATAACTTTCCAAAAGCAAAAGACCTCACCTTCACGGTACAATGACGGAAATAGTCCATCTGGTGAAATAACAACAGGTCCATTGGGTAAAGCCTTTCCATCCTGCAAGAATAGACTAGATCAATTCAGCTTTTGCTATCCTCTCAACATACTAGGCATAACCTAACAGTGCAAGCCCAGCACAAAGCAAGAAAGAAGACAAACTAAGCCAGTAGGGAAACCACCACCCACAATAGCAGCCCAAGATACGATTCAGGGAGTAGAGATGCCAAATATACTTATATACCACTGATACTTTCTCAGGCATGAATTAAACACAACTATTTAATCGGACTCGATTGTCGGACCACAGTTGATCCAACCACATTAAAAATTTCTAATTCCAGTGCCAACCATCTCACAAAAGAAACTAGTGCATCTTACTTCCTCTTAACTTTGACTCTTTACAATTATAGTCACTATTGCGAACAAATAAACACTATTATTAATAGTAGTAGATGAGTATATCAAAAACCAGGTCATTTGAGCACCTGCTTCAGGTTCAGTAAAAAGCTTCTGGTTAGGTATGCCTGAACAATAGCACGTGCACTCAGAAATAGTAGCTGATATCCATTTTCCTGTAATGTCCATAAAATTTATCATACAATGTCAATCAACCAACATCAATCCATTTTGTTCCAGATGCATGAAATGCATCTCACCTATCTTTTTATTTCATGGAATAAGACAGGAGATCAAAGAAGTGGCAAACCTTAATAGCTGAAAAAAGTCTTGCCACACCAGATTGAGTCCAATCCTTTCCAACCAAAGGCATAAACTGGCCTAAAACATCAGACCTGAAAGAAAATGCATCAACATAATGCATAATTCACGATAAATAATACTTAATTGGAAGACAAAACATCGAAGATCAGAAGGTCTGCATGAGAATGCTTATGCAGTTTAAAAAATGACTGCAGCAATGATCAAACAACCTGGAGATAAATGAAAACTAACAAATCATTCATTTTAAAAACTCAGCAATAAGAAAAAATCAGAAAAAGACAATCATATCCAAGAGAAAACACCTATGCACCAGGATTATAACTCAATCAGTCAATCACTTGTCAAAGTTTCAGCATGAACCTGGAGGCTCTACCTTACGAGGAAAATATTATTGAAAAGGAGATCAACATCGAGGAAGTTTCTCCAGCTTCAATACTTTTCATTACAGCTGAAGGCATTAAGGCTACACTAATGAACATTCGTATTATGATGATTTCAAATGCATTGCCAATTACCCATACTGCCAGCAGATTGTACAAGTATTTGCATATAGACAACCTTTCTGTCAAATGCTTTGACCAATGACTATGAAAATAGTAAGGTAAAATAAAATACAGGAGAAAAAGTAATTGGAGAACACAACAGACATAGGCTGTTAAAATAAAGCCCGGTTTAACTCACAAATGGAGACATAGCTTGTTTTGGCCAAGGGATGACAATAACCTAGATGATCAAACATCAAACAAGAGTCATAGACTTCTCTCATTTCGTTTTGGTTCCCTTGAAAAATTTAATGATATGTGCATACACTTGATAACTCCAATAATTTGTTCTACTTGGTAACTTTAATAATATGTGCAAATAGTTTCTAGTTTATTAATTTGTATACACACAAAGTCCACCAAAATCATTAGGATAGTAGTTACAATTTATTAATTTGTAAAAGGAAATTTTTCATTTTCCCAAGGGAGAAAGAGCATTTATGGATGAAAATTTATTAAGTAACGGCTGTCTCCTCCTAATTGACTAAGAAAGTTGTGGCAAGTAAGAAACAAGAATTCAGAAGATTATTCAAAGAAGAAATTAGGTGGCTTACTTGGTAATTGTTCCATCAACATCTGAAATTACAATTCGAGCATTCCACTTCCACAAGTAAATATGAGCATCAACCTGTTTATTATTAATGTGAATCAGCAGCAACTAAAAATAAATAAAAACAACTCAGCAATCATAATCTTCATCTGAAAAAGTTTTAATAACAGATAGTGACCAGACCTGTTGTGTTCCCAGAACCCTGGTAGAAAAGCTGAAAGTAATCATATTTTGACCATCTTTCAAGTTCAGAGATGCTATCTGCTCATTTGTGGGAACATTGGTTCTAATAAATTGCTTGTGAGGAGACTCAACGTTGCCATCAGATGTTGAAGTTTCTTGTAGGCTCAGTGAACCAGATTCAGTATCAACAAATACCTCCTCACTTGATGCGCTACTGCTAGTGTGCTCTAGTGTTTTGACTCTTCTAAATGGAATAGGCCAGAGCCTCCATCTGCGTCCAGAAGGAGTGGAGGTAACTCCAGATTCATCATCCTTAGACTTCTGTGTATCCTCCTGTTCCACAGGAACTGCATCCTTTGGGTCAACAGGTAATTCTAGGCCAAATACAGCCATCCCAAGAACAAAAGGAGCAGCTTTTTCCCACAACAAGTACCTCTCTCTAAATCTGACAACTAAGTTTTCGTTCTTAGTAATTGAAGCTGCATTGCTTCTGAATTCATCTTCTGATATGCGATGTGAATCAAAGGCTTCAGCTGCAGCATCCAAGCCCATCCCCGCGCGAAGTTCATTCCCACAGAGTGATATCTCAAACCCTGCTAATATAAGATGAATGAATAAAAATAAGTAATCAACAAGAATCAATAAATGATACAAGTTTCCATCATTACAACTAAAGCCGATAGGAGGTCCTTACTTGTGCCTGAGAAATTTCCTTCACCAGAAGTTGTTCTTAGGGGTTCCACAATCTCGCTTTTACAATATTCATCTTTGGGCACAGGTCTTTCAGAACTATTGTCTGTTCCTTCGACTGCTGCTAATGTACCAAATTGTTCATCCTTCCACTCTGGGTTGGTAATAACAGAATCAATAGCTTCCCTTGCATGATCAATTCTCCCTGAATCCACTGCCATGTTCTCAGTCAAATTTCCTTCAACCTGTAGATTCAGAGACCCGTTGTTGGCAGGAGAACCAGAAACAGATGAGGGAGATAACCCATCATCAATTGTACATGCAACAGTCGCATCTTCAGTTTCATTAACAATTAAATGACTTTCAAGAAATTGATCCTGAGAATTCTGAACCTCCAATGATGTATCCCTCTCTTCTGTATCAGCATTTCCGACCTGTTTGGAAAATTCTGTTAGCTCCAAACAACTCTTAAAAACATCTTCCTTCTTATTATAAGTAGACTCAATATGTAAGTTAGGATCTCCTTCCTTCATTGTGATGTTCTCAGTTTCACGGGTTTGACATGTGTGTTCCCCCACTTCTTCACAAACTTCTAGCTGGTGGCCAGAAGCAATATCATCATCATTCATGCTGCGAATACTATCATAAGCCATATCAGCTGTAGATGAATTCAACTTACTAATATAATCATCAGCCCATATATTATCACTTGAACTAAACTCCCCATTGCCCTCACAAAAATCAGCCTCGTCACCAGGGCCCAAATGAAATTGAGGTGTACTTAGTTGCAAATTCTCGGTAGACTGTTCTGATGCTGAGACAGGAGCTGTCAGTACATGACCATCAACACTCACCAAGATAACTGCTGAATCTGAACCCTGTGATTCCCGAGAATTCTCAGTATCTAAACTCTCGTACCGATTAGACCCATAATCAGATAACTCAACGGAACCCTCCAAAGAGGATTGCTCCTCTTGAAATTCATAAAACCTCCGGTCACCATCAGATTCTGCCCTCTGAAGTCTGTCTGTAGCGGAGGAATCACACTCATCCCGCAATAGAGTCACCCTAGAATCAGAGACACTATGTTCAAGTCTACAAACCTCAATTCTATTACCAATGTTAGCATCAAGAAAACTACTGTCATCAGGATTAGCTTCAATGTTCCCATTTGCCTCACAACTTTTACCAGAATCAACCTCCTTAATAAAATATGCTTCCCCAGAATTATCAAGATACATATGAAAATTAGCTTCAACGCCATTGACACTTATGCGGACAAACTTCTCAGCTCCTTTCAGAACACCCTGAAATTTACCAAACCGCACATACCAAGGCGTGCTTCGAAAAGTCCCATCTTGCTGCTGAACCACAATCACATCAACAGCACCACCAAAGGGATGAAACGGGGTGGCAACAGAGTATACACCTTGAGAAATTAGGCTCCCAACTTTGCCCACCACATTCATTTCATTGACCTACTAATAACCTCACAAAGTTTTACAAAAATGAACTAAACCCTATTAAAATTCACCGACTAATCTTTGTTTTCAATCAAATAATCCCCAAAAAGAATTCTTTCCCAATACTCAAGAGGTTATTATTATGTTGAACCTGCATTAAATTTAGAAATCAAGAATAAATAGACATAAAACAAAAGACAAATGCCACTAAAAAAGAAACTTTGGAATAATCCAGCCGCCATTTCACACCCAATCAACCAAATTTAGAAACTTAGAATATTGATTAGAAAGCAATCAAATAATTCCATTCAAGATTTTCCCCAGATTTCCTGAGCAACCAAACAAGAATAAGAAAAGATGTTGCAATCAATCTCCCAAACTTGACATAACAAAGAAAAGAAAAACTGAAGGCGGTTAAACTTACAGATTCAAAAAAAAATCGATACAACCGACGACGGAACTAATCTCGCAGCTCAAAAGAATCGAAAAAATGATTGTATCTATCTCTATCTCTTCGTCAACGTAAAGGTAGTTGTGTTGAATTTTCAATTATGCTTTCTGTTTCGTGTATTATAAATTCTGGGTAGTTAAAGATTCTTGGAGGCTTCGAAGTTTGTACTTTTTTAAAGGGTTGTGTGGTTTATTAAAAAAACCAGAGTCAAGAAACAGAAACCTTTCTTGTCTAACTCAATAAATAGGTAATCCTCAGAAGGAAATAATCAATTGGTCCCGTAGGTTGTATAATATTACAGAAATACCTTGGCGGTGCTGATACAAATGGTGATGTTTTTGTTGGGTCTTCATAGGATTTCGTGTAAACTAGTTTGAATGGACGGAACCGGGGCATCACCAAGTTGTGGACCTGTCTAGAGAAACAAAATTTAATTAATGAAGGTTCTATGAAATTCAGGAAATGCCCCTGTTCTTTTTCACATTACTATCCCTAATTGAAACCAATTACTTTCTTGAGTACGACTGATATTACCAATTAAATTAGCCAATACTTCTCTTTCTCCAGTTTGCAAAATTAAATTTTATATTTCGAAATTATAATAAAATAATGAGTAAACGACATGTTCCCACCAAAAAATTAGTGAAATTTCATGTTCCCACCCCTTCTTTCATTTATTCTAGATTTCTATCCTTAGATTAACAAAAAATCATTTAGTATAACAGTCAAAGGGCAAAATAGTAATTTGAACTGCATTAAATCTTAAATAAAAATAAAAATTTCAAAACAACCATTTACATATCAAATTCTCTCACAAGCATCCTTCATCACCCCCTCCCTTGCGACAACCGCAAAAACTTAGATCTAGCCAGATTCTTACGTCCTTGGACATCACCACCACCACCACTAGCTTCCCCCACTCATCCTCGACAAAACCCATCCATCCCTCAACCTCTTCCACCTCCATTTTGGTCGAATTTGAGCCTTTTATCCGAGATTTACCCCTTCCTCGCAGCTGTCGAAAAAATCCGAATATGGCCATATTCCGGTGCCGTTTGAGATCACTATCACCACCACTAGCTTCCCCCACTCATCCCTGACAAAACCCATCTATCCCCCAGCCCCGTCCACCTCCATTTTGGCTAGATTTGAGTCTTTATCCATGATTTTCCCCTCTCTCATGGCTGTCAAAAAAATCCAGATCTAGCCAGATTCCGATGCCATTGGACATCACTGTCACCACCACTAGCTTTCCCCACTCATCTCAAACAAAACCTATCCATCTCCCAACCTTGTCCGCCTCCACTTTGGTCGAATCTGGACCTTTTATCCGCAATTTTCCCTTCCCTCATGACAATTGCAAAAAATTAGATATGGTCAGATTCTGGCGCCGTTTGACATCACCATCACCACCACTAGCTTCCCCCACTCATCCCGAACAAAACCCATCCATCTCTCAGTCTCGTCCACTATCATTTTGGTTGGATCTGAGTCTTTTCTCCCGATTTTCCCCTCCCTTGGGGTTGCCAAAAAAATCCAAATCTATTTGGGGTTAAAAAATAATTTATTAATTTACTTGTAAGGGCAATTTGGTAATAACACTCTCTATATTGTGTCAGAATCCAAAAATTATTAACAATGTTTAATTTAAGGGTGGAAATTGAAAAAAATGAAACCAGGGGTGTGAACTAGGAGTTTAGCTAATCTTTGGGTGTGAACATGTCCTGTCCTCTAAAATAATTTGTGTTTTATAAATTATAATAATTGTCATCTCAAATATTATTCGTGAGGTAGCTACATGCCTACATCTACACAGTTTTTGAGAAAGAAACAACTGACGTGCACGTGTTGTTCATGTGCGTTACAAGTTTGGTTTCTTTCTGCCTTTCGACCGTATCTAACTATCTATGCGGCTAAACTTTAACTGACCACCTCGGTTCAAGTTATTGTTGGGCTCGGTCCACTTACGTAATACAAAAAGAGGTTCACTCCGTTTTATGCCAAAAATGATATTTTGGGTGCGTTTAGTTTATTATTTTGGATAAGATTTTAGAAATAATATTAGGTAATTGAATAAAGGAGTATTATGAGGTAAAATTTAAAAATTTATAAAAAAGCCCCTAGGTTTACTAATTTAATTAAACACCCCAACATATAAAATGACAAAAATATCCTCATCACCTGCAGTGCCAGATTCCGGCTACCACCAACAAAATTTGACCAGAAAATCACGTTACAACACAGATTGGTTGGATCTTTGTCGTTACGCATCTTTATGGCCTTTTCCGGCCAGATCTACAACCTACTGTGACCGTAGACGGCCGGAAAAGGCCAAAACGACGGTAATTTCTTTGCGACGGCCAGATCGGTGAATTACCGGCCAGTTCCAGTGGGTAATTCACCGTTGTGGCAGATTCTGGCTACCACCGACGATGGTTGCCGGAATCTGGCACAACGTATGGGTCACGGGGGTGTTTTTGTTAAATTTTAAACTTTTTTCAGGGGGTATTTAATGAAATTAATAACCTTATGGGGTCTAAAAGTAATTAAAAAATAGGGTAATATTTCTGGAATAATGTGCCAAACATTATTTGGAGAATAGGATTGGGAATATGGGCAGAAATAATAAGTCAAACGTGCCCTTTATTATTTTCGTATTTTAAATATATTTGAACATTATACTGTACTTGTAAACTTTTTTTCAAGTTATTTAGATATTGTATATATCGGGTGTGTTTGCTTTATTATTTTGAGTAGTATTTTTAAAAAAATTGAGTTGGATTATTATTACGATGATAGAATTTGAATTTGAAAATGTGTTTGATAAGATTATTTTTTAATCTCCTATATTTGTTAATTTAGTTAAACATCCTCTACAATAAAAGTTTTAAGATTAACAAAAACACCCCTATCCACCCATTAAATGCCAGCAACCGACGGGAATATGTGAGTGGGTAGGGGTGTTTTTATCAATTTATAAACTTTTATTGTTGGAAGTGTTTAGTTAAATTAACAAATCTAGGGGTTAAAAAAATCTAAGCGTTTGTTTCGCTATTTTTGTCCTATCCTATTTTCTATCATTTCCAAAATATACATTTGTTTTCCTATTATGAAAATACTATTATATTATATTTAATTATTTTAAACCCCCTAAGTTTGTTAATTTAACTAAACACCCCCCAAAAAAGTTTAGAAATTAACAAAAATACCTCCACTCACCTACATTTGCTAAATTCTGGCCACTAACATAGGAAGGTGGTCGAAATCTGGTATAATAGCACACTACCGGCTGGATCTGGCCGGTAGTGAATCGATCTGGCCTTTTCCAATGGATTTGGTCGGAAAAGGTTAGATCTATGACTAGATCTGTCGTTGACGACTAAACGCTGTCAGATCTGGCCTTTTCCGGCCAGATCCACAGTGGATCTGGCTGAAAAAGGCCATATCAACGCACGACCTACTAGATCCAGCAGGTCGGGAGCCAATACGACGACTTTAGCCACCCTCCGGCGATGGTGGCTGACTGCCGATATTTAATAGGTGGGTGAAGGGTGTTTTTGTTAATTTTCAATGTTTTATTATAGGGGTGTCTAGTAAACTAACAAACTTAAGGGGTGTTTTTGTAAATTTTTAAATCTTATCTCGTAATAACCACCCAACTCTTATTTTTTCAAAAATACTATCTAAAATACTAAAATAAACACCCTTTAAATATTTTGAGTTAAATAGAATATGATTGGATGTTGAAAATAGTGAAATAAACATATATTTTGAATATGATAGAATGGGAATAATAAAACAAACACACTCACTTTTTAAAAATAAATATTTAAAAATTATATATGTTCAAAAATTGGCATAGATAAATAGAATTGAAGATAAAAGATATAAAATAATATTTGAAAAAGAGAAATAAAAATATATTTTGAATATGATAGAATGGGAATAATAAAACAAACACACTCACTTTTTAAAAATAAATATTTAAAAATTATATATGTTCAAAAATTGGCATAGATAAATAGAATTGAAGATAAATGATATTAAATAATTTTTGGGAGAGAGAAATATATATATTAAAAAAGGTTAAAAAGAGTTTGAGATTAATTAGATAACAGCTTGAAACTTTTTTATTGCTAAAATATGAAAAAGATAAAGAATGAGATAAAGAAATTACCTACCGTATTCTTCATCAAGAAAAGAAGAATAATTGAAGACAAAATATGGTGCTGGTTTAAAATGAGTTAAATACAGGCTTTTCAATAATTTACAAAAAAACTTTAATAGAATTTATTATTTAAAAATAATAATAATAAAATACATAGAGGAGGGCAATTGCCCCTCATTGTCCCTTGTGTCACAGGGCCTAATCTCGTCTCTAGGCGCTGCACGACACAAGTGCACCAACACTTGTCAGCCTTCTCCAAGTTGTGCGTTTCCCTATTACAAAATTGCAAACACAATCCAACAGAGGCTAATGAGAGTAAATGCACAACAGATACGGGAAACCCAACCTTGTATTATTTCAATCCGAATACAAGGAAACTCAAGCACTCACACAGTGTATCCCACTATTTACAATCTGATCCCTCTATCACAGACTTAGCACTCAAGTTACAACAAGGTTTACAAACACATATAACCCTTGCCCTCTCACTCTCTCGAATATACAGCCTACCTGCCTTATATACAAATAGGCACAGCAGTTACATAGCAATTTTACAACCTTATCAACAGTTAGATGACAGTTGGTTTACATACAAATGTATCTGGACACATATAACCATCCCACAGCCTTGGTCCAGCATATGCCTGAATTTAGCTACTCGTTATCTAACTTGTATGTTCACACATGTCCCAGCTCGTGTGCCACTGTCTTGCCTGTTCGTGCCACAGTCTAGCCTGCTCGTGGCACTGTCTAGCCTGCTCGTGGGCGCACCCACACCCACGTTAATGACATGCATGCTCGCGCACATCTTAGCTCGCAAGTGTCCACACCCGTGAGCTATCTCATCAGTAAGTGTTCGACGTCCCAACACTCAAACACCCTACACCTGATCTCAGCCATCCTTTTGAGCACACACCCGTGTGTTGTCTTGGCGAGGCTGTGGCTAAGGATGAAAGCCACACGCCTACCCTTGCCCTTGGTAAGGGTCTTACAAACCACCCCCACCAGAAGAGTCCGACGTCCTCGTCG